AGGCAGAAGCTGGGCCACCTGAAGGCCTCTAAAGAAGAGCGGGATCTAAGCTTGTGGGACCCCAGGACCTGGGCCAGAGCCCTGCACAGACAGAGCCTGCCCTGAGTGCCGACTGCTAGCCCACGGAACTGGGAAGAGCAGACACATTTCTGTTCCCAAGTGCCACCATCTTGATGCACTTCCTTTACTGCAGGACCAAGGAGATGAGGCAGCCCCCTCTAAGACACTCGGCTGACATCCAGATAGCGCAGTACCTGCTGGACTGAGTCCGTTCGTAGGATTTATAAAGAAAGGAAAATATGGAGACATTTGAAGAAATTATTTATGAGGTGTGGGGAAGAGTTTTAAACGTGTAAACCCGAGCAGAATGATGGTGGGGAAGGAAGATCTGCAGCTGTCATAAATAAATTATTTCCAAGTTGTTAATACCGGAGGAGGGAATTGTTCAGCGTGTTTGGGTTGCTGGGACACAGGAGGGAGGGGCCAGAACTCAGAAAGAGAAGCCTTTTCTGCAGAATCCTGAAACACTTTTGACAACGAATGAATGATTAATGAGTCAATGAAAAGATGCATTCGAGTCCAACGAAGGTTCTTGACAAGGTACGGCGGACAACGCTGCCTGCAGCTGACTGTGGAAGGGACGAGAAAAAGTGCCGCGGGTCTCTGAAACCAGTTGGTGTTGGGTCCCTGTGTGCCCAAGGGCAGCTGGGCTCCACTGGGCTCCTTTGGAAGCAGAATGCCAGGCGTTTCTTCTTAGGCACCTCTGGGCAGACTGTCCGCCTTCCTGTTGGCAGCTACTCGCAGTAAATACGTTAGCCACTCGCCTCTCCCAGGGGCTGGTCCTCCCTGCCAGCGAGGCGATTCCGACTCAGACCACATAGAGCAGAGTAGAACTGCCCCCGTGAGTCTGCGAGACTGTACATCTCTACGGGAGCAGACAGCCTCATCTTTCTCCAGCAAAGCTGCAGGCGGTTTCAAACTGCTGACCTTGTGGTTAGCAGTCCAACAAGTAACCCACACCGCCACCAGGGACTCCAACTGGATCGTTTTTCTTCCCCCCGTCCTCCTAGAGCCCACTGATTGTCACCTCTGCAGACCCAGAGCTGCCCCCACCCCAATTTCAGAGCCACACCTTCCAACAGGCTCCGGTGCCGTCTGCCCGGAATCAAAATTATGCCGCCACCTCTGGGAGAGTGCCACAGCCCTTGTGTTACCGACCAGTGACACAGCTGTGGCTTCTCTCCGGTTCCCCTTGTCCCTTTCTCCCAATTAGGTCTGGGAACCAGCAGGGCTCAGCCTGTGGGGAGCTCCCGTCCACAGAGCTCCCACCCCTCCCCCCGCCCCCGCCCCCTTGTAAGAGGAGGCAGGAAGGGGCATCTCTGACGTCCAGTCTGTGCCAGTTGTTCATTCAGACATGGCAAACATTTTGATGATCACCTACTACGTGCCAGACCCCAGGCTGGATTCTGGGATGAAGGGGCTCCCGCTGAATGCGTTTCCCTGGGATCTTCCCCTGGCAGCTTTAGCAGTGAGCCTGTGGGGTCCCTTCCTGACCTGTGGTTTGAACTCAGAGTCAAATGATGGGTGCTCACTTTCCAGTTCCACTGACATCTCGTACCCACGAGCTCCCACCGGCCCCTGCCTTCTCCGGCTGCAGTGGCCTGAGGGAAGTCCCTTAACAGTTTGGAAAAGGGCTCTGAAAATTCACAAAGCCACCTGAAGCCACCGTTGCTCTTGGAGAAAGTGAAGGTGAGAGTATAGAAAATCACAGGTGTATTGGAAAGTCAGGTGAGCACGTGCAATTGGAAAATGATGGGCAGAGAGGGCAGACACCCAAACACTTTCTCCTTGACCACCTTACCTTCCCCACCACCCTCCCAAAGAGACATGGCGCTTCCTTCTCTTTGTATCTCATGGCAAGATTGTCAAGGAAAACTCGAGCAGCCAAGGAGAAGATCGCATCGGACGTGATGGACGATGAGCCCCAACGTGTGCAGTGGCATCCAGAGGGCCGCTCTGCGGCGGGGGTGGTTAGTGCTATCGAGTCAGTTCTGACTTCGAGCGGCCCCGTGACCAACAGAAGGAAACGCGACGTGGCCCTGTGCCAGCCTCAACAACTGTTGCTAGGCCCGAGCCCACTGTGGCCGCCCCGTGTCAAACCATCTCCTTGCAGGCCTTCTTCCTCTTGGTCGCTGCCCTGCACCTTAGGGAGCAGCTGCCCTGCACCTTAGGGAGCACGGTGTCCTTTTCCAGGGACCGGTCTCTCCTGGCAACATGTCCAAAGTGTGTGAGAGGAAGTCTTATCACCCTCACCTCTAAGGAGACTTCTGGCTCTGCTTCCTCCAAGACAGACTTGAAAGTGTTGACGAACAAAGCTGTCTCTTGGAGGTTTAAGTGCAACTGAACCAAGCGATGGTTATTTCCAATCACCTCACGTGCATGTGGCAGCTGGACGGCGACTAGGGAAGCCCGCAGAAGGACCTCTGGGGATGATGTGCTGGCAGAGAAGACTGCGCGTGCCGTGGGGTACCAGGGACTGCTTGGAGAACGAGCAGGTCTGTCTTGGCTGGAGTACAGCCGGAATGTTCTTTAGACATCAAGAAGGCAGGCCTTGGCCTCACGTACATCAGACACATTGGGGGAGGGATGAGGCCCCGGAACAGGACATCTTGCTTTTCTGCATGACAGGAAGGACACTTGGTGGGATGGAGTGACCTCGTGACTTCAGCTATGGACTCAAGCAAAGCAGCCATCGTGAAGGGACGCAGGACTGTCAGGGTTCTTTTCCTCTTCTATGTAGGTCTATGTCCACAGGGTCAGACCTGGCTTGGCGGCCCTACCAATAACAACGGCACACAGCATGCCTTCAGAACATGCTTCTACCATGTCCTGCTCCTGGTCATAGCTGAGTCTTGGTGGGTCATCAGGGAGTGGGGACCTTTCACCGATACAATAAAGTTGATGCTATGTCTTTAGGATCTAATGAGCAAAAATTCACACCTTAAAACAGTCATGCCGAAGATGCATAAACCATAAACCAAAGATGCATAAGTGCCCCAGAAATACGGGAACAAACCACCCCAAAGTCATGTCTGGGAGCCTGGTGGCATCAGGTGTTTGGGGGAGAACCCCTAAAAGAGTAACACATTATTCTACTTTGTGTCACTTACAGGCAAGAAAGATGAACGGTGCTGGGGAGGTGTCCCTGGGTTTTAGAGAGAACACGTTTCATGTTGTGGCTGTACCAGCAGACACTCGATGTCTTGTCAGGTTCCCAGAGTAAGAGAAGCTTCTCCATTTATCCACCTGAGAGAGCAAGTAGCCAGGGAGGCCTGAAACCTTTTACGTCCCACGACGGGAGACGAGTCTGTGGTGGAGGGGGAAGTTCTGTGGGACCCATGCCAAGTTCCCCCGTCTGCTGTGGGGCCCTCCCCCGCTCTGCAGATCTCGTTAGGAGACATGATGTAATCCTTCCAGCTTAATCCAATTTGAGTTGGGCTTTCTGCTGCATGCCACAGAACACATCATAACTCAGAGAGACAATAATTGAAAGATTCCAGATCATTTCATGGGGCTATTTTTGTTTGTTTCCAACTTTGATTTTATTAAGTTCTTTCAAGGTGGTCATCTGTCCGTGTTGGGACTCCAGATGGACTTCTGCCTCCACTCTGCATCTCGGAGATGATGGGGAGGGTGTCTGGGGTGGGGAGAGACACCCCCAGACCTGTCGTTCTCCCACAGACATCAAACGACAGCTTTTCTGCTCCCTTCTCACGCTATTCCACGAGTCTCAGTCATCTTCCTCCTCAGCGTCTTGTCCACCTATCCCCTCACCTCCTGCCTCAGAAAAGCCCCCTCGGCCCCCTCCAGCTATTGCCCCAGGCCTCTGTGCCCATTCTCAGCAAACTGTCCCAGAGAATTGTCTGAAACATCTGCTTTCTTTCACGGAGCTCCATTTCTCCTGCCCGACTGAGACGGCTCTCATCAGGGTCTCCACGACTTCTGTTTTGCCCAAACCAACGACCATGTCCGTGTTCGCAGCTCCCTGGACCCCTCTCAGCCTTAGGCTGGCAGCCGTAACAGGTGGCTTTTCTGAGATCAGCCTCCATTTCCCAGCTCTATTGCAGGAGGGGCCCTTGGGGAGGGGAGGGTTTCCCCAGGGAGCTCCTCAGACGCGCTCACCCACAGCCCCATGTACAACGACCCCAAGGTCTGGCACCTCGTAGAGTCTCAGGAAATACATATCTAGCTGAGTCCTCTGCCCCCATCACCTGGGCTCCGGCAGTCTGAAGCATGGCGCGTGACACACGTGATGTGCGATCAGACCTTCCAGGGTAGCCTAAGGCAGCCTGAAGCCAGACCCTCCCATGGAACACTCAGGAACGTGGCCAATGACTTAGCCCCTCCTTCAATGGATACAGACGTATACCTCTGTCTTATCTTACTTCATCTCCCATACTTTGGACATGCCATCAAGAGAGACCAGTCCCTGGAGAAGCACATCGTGGTTGGTCCAGTGGAGGCACATCAAAGAGGAGGGAGGCCCTCAAGGAGATGGACGGATGGACGGACACAGTGGCTGTAACAATAGGCTCAGGCAGGGGGGCAGTCGTGAGGATGCCACAGGACCAGGCCATGTGTCCTTCTGTGGTACACAGGGTCACTGTGGCTCAGAACCACTCCATGGCACCTAATCACAACAATCCATGTCCCTGTCCGACAACACAGCCATCTACGGCTACTGAGATATGTGATGTGTGGCCGCAGAGGTGAGGTGCGTCAGTTGCCCCCCCACCACCACCACCCCCCACCGCTTCCAGGGACTCCAGGAACATCACTGTCAGGTCCTGCTCCATCCTCACAGTCATTGCAATGTTTGAGGCCCTGGTGAGCGTGTGTGTGTGTGTGTGTGTGTGTGTGTGTGTGTGTGGAGAAGAGAGTGTTTTCAGAGGCACCGCAGGGATGAGTGCACTTCTCAGCGTGCGCTGTGTTTGTTTCAGGCAGGAGGCGTCCTTGCAGGTAGCAGGAGAGCATCCAAGTCTGTAAAAACAACCCCCCAGAGCATCCCAGAGCAAACAAGCCCAAGGTAACAGCCCCGGGCTCTGTCATTGGCAGGGGGTGGTGGGGGGGGATGGCTCTATTATATTCTCTTCTCCGACATTGGTTGGGGAGAAGGGAGCATCCGAAAGGACACAGTTAGTCAAAGTCTCAAATATGATTATGCTACAAATGATAAGACTTGGGCCCCAAACCTAAAACATTTGATCTGCAAGGTACCGCCCCCCCCCCCCCGCCGCCTTCTACCCCACGGTGATAAACCCATCTGTGCACATCCTGGGCCCCCTACCTCGTGATCATGATGAGAAGAAGAGCCATATCGTGGCTGCCAGCAGTGGCTGAACGCTGGCTAGATATTTTGCATACGTTTCCCGAGTCCACACATTCAGCCCTCAGTGTGGATCCTCCATTTTCGGCTGGAGAAACTGAGGCAGGGAGCAATTTAGAATGGGCCCAAGGCCATGCAGCCTGGAGGTGTTGGGGGAAGCTCTGAGGAGTCACACTCACCCTCCGTGCCCACCCTGCCCTCCCTGAATGAACCCCAAGGTGACAGGGATTCAAGAGGCCCCTACTGGCCACGCCCACCATCAATCCAAGATCCGCTTGAGGTTTATCTTCAAGCTTCTGTCGAAGCAGCTTTCCCAACAGGACCCTCACCCTCTCAACACAACCCCTAGCTCAGTTTCAGCATTCCTACCCCGTTTAGCTAGCCCTTTCTCGTTTCTTCCTCAGGAGGCTGGCTCAGGCCCTTGGCCCTCAGAACAAGGCCCGTCCCCTTAAGCGTCCACATTCCTGAAAGGATGAGTATTTTGGACAAGGGCCTGGCATTCTGCAAGCTGCCCTGGAACGAGCCTCCTTCCCACCTCTACCCTCAGTTAACAGCTGAGTGCATGACCCAGCGCCACTAGGCACTAGAATTCTTATGTTGGGTACTCACCAATGTGTAAGGCACTCGCTCAGTTTGGTGGCTTTGGGTAGCCTGTCATGTGTCTTAGGAATTCTAGCCCACCTGCATCTCATACACGATGAATATTTTTAGAAGAAATCAGCATAAACATCCCTTGGAAATTGGGATGATCCAAACCACCATTAAACAGCCTTAGTTGCTAGAAGGGTGCTCCATGGGCTAGCTTCTTAATAAACCAGTTTTTCCCTTTCTGTCCTTTCCACGTGGAGTGATGATTGATTAGGCTCCCTGCTGCAGGCCCATTGCATCCACATTGCCAGCACAGTAGCTCAGTAGCCTGGATTAGCTACGGGGCTCTCCATGTGGCGATCCTAGGGGAATCCTTGGCCAACTGGAGTTCTTCATTCTCCTCTGTTCTTGGTCACTGGGAGAACTGGGTGAGGGCAGTGGACGTTCTCCTGGGAGGGAGGCTGGGGCATCGGTTATGCGGTGCCCTGATCTTGAGGAATAGCCCTACCAAACCAAGGCCAGCTGAGCTGTCAGAAGGGGCAGCTCCCTGGAGCCGGGTTAGCTGCCTTTGGGAGAAGGGAGAAGGCACTACTGAGAGCAAAATTCCTTACTGTCGAAACATATCCCTTTGTGAGCAGAGTCCCAGGTGGCCTCTCCTCCACCTGCCTGGGGGTCAGCAGAGCCCGCGATACTTTTTAGCACTTCGTTGCTTCAGGTGTCAGAATCTTGCTGTCCTGCAAGGCTGGGAATTGCAAGAAAGTCTGTGTCTCACAGTCAGTTACCTGTACATTCCTCGCAGCAACCTTGGCAATGCTGGTGGAGCAGCGAAGAATGCACGGCATCTGTTTGGAGCATAATGCCGTATTATTCCTTGTCCATGTTGCAGAGGCCAGCCCATGGAGAGGCTCGAAGTAGACCCCAGCAAGAGGTCATTTCCAGATGTGGCGAACATTGTGCAAGAGAAAGGGCACAGGCCGAGAAGAGGTGGAGCCGGGCCACAAAGCGTCCTGAGGGATGAGGAGCCAGGCCCAGACTTTGACGATAACCCTGACGTGCCTCCGTTGATCTGAAACAATGGGCTGCAGTCACTGGCTGTGGCCCACTGGGCCCAGAGTATCTCAGGACAGACCGTACCGACACCCTTTCTGGGGTGAACCCAGAGGTGTTTGTCCGTGTTCTGACGACGATTCCAGTGTTGTAACACCCCTACCTCGTGTAATACCACCCTTAACCTCGTTGAAACGCTGAAGTGCGTGCCTTAAATATGTGATCGTTGTTTCTCTGTGTATCCAACGTTGTTGACGAGGTAAATGTTCAGAAAGTCGTAGGGCTCTTCCACAAAACACTTATTATGAACCACAGCGCTCTCTGTGCTCCTGGAACCGGCAGCAGAGAAACACCGTAATTTTGAAAGTGGGATCTTGGCAAATCGGTCAAGCTCACAAGTCAACATTAGTTTGAGATCAGCTTGCAGTGCTTGAAGGTTATTTCGAGCAGTGTTTCCGTTTTCTCCTCTGGTGGCGTGCTGTCATGGCGGCAACAGCGCTTTGACATCAAACGCCCCGGAATTGGACTCCAGCACCATCACAGTGTAAAGGCCTTCGGCAAGGGCTGGAATCTCCCCGTCCTCTAGTGGAGGGGACAGCATGGGGTAAACATACTGGGCAGTGGGTTTGGTTTCTTTGTCTGTTTTCCTTTTTCTGCCGTAGGTTTGTCTGAAGATCAGCTCCGTGAAGTGCCTAGTACATGAGCGTCCCTTACACCTCTCCAGTGATTACACATGATATGCCCTCATGAGCAACAGAGAAACCTTTGTCCCCAAAGGGCTATATTCACGGGTGTAGGAGTTAGGATCTGTAACACATATGCTTAGGGGACACAGTGCAATCTATAACATTGTACCTCTTCTTTATGTAGATTATTATTAAGTAAATATTTTACGTATATTGAAGAAAAAGTAGTATTACTCTGATTGTGTGATGCAAGCTTTTGAATAAAGGTTCCCTAAATAGTCATTCAGCTGTTACTCACTGAGCAACTATTGAGTGCTAGGCACAACTCCAATTCATTGCCATCAGTTTGGGATATATTTATATATATATATATATATAGTTTGCCACTAGCACAGCCCTTGTTCTTGCAGCTGGTCTCAGGTATTCACAGCTGCCCCCTTCTCCTTCTTCCCTATGCCCTTTACCCCCAGCAAGCACCTCAGCCAGTCATGACTTCTTGCCTGGTGGGGGGCCCAACCTTCTTCCCAGAGGTCCTGTGACATTTGAAGTCCTGCATGTATCAAGTCATTGAGCTCTCCACTAAAAGTCTCAAGAACCTGGAAGGACTACAAGCTCCTGCATTGCCACTCAACTTCCCCCCTCCTGGCCCTCCCTCGACACTCTGTGCACGGTGCTATCTAGTTTTCCTGTGACGGTCACATTGCCCCAGGCAGCCCTTTGCCAGCTGGGTCACTGGCACAAGATCGGTCATGACTTCCAGTTAGAAGGCAACCTCGTCTTGCTCCCTGATGGAAGCATTCTTGCCTTGGGAACCCAACTTTGGTGAGTCACGCACTCTGGGTGATTGTGAGGACCCTCGCTCCCTTTTTGCCCCCTTTCCTGGCAGAGCGATGGATCCTGGCCGCAGGAGGAACAGCATCCTATCTTGGGCGAAGTCACAGAACATATGCGCGAGAACATGGCCCCACCCGTTCAAACTGCTGGCACTTTGATGGAGACTTCCAGGGGCATCCTGCTGCTTCATCAGGCCCACTGGCCCAGGGTGATGGAGCACGTGGTACGGCAAGTGAACTCCATACACATCATTTCGTGGACAAACTTTATTTGTGATAGAATGAGTTGGCATGTCAGAGGGGGTACCGAGTGAAAGATGATGGCATTCTAAAAACCCACAGATGGTGTTGTTGGGGGCAGTGTGGCAGCCTGATGCACATGCACCGGGTGTGTGTCTGTCCCTGAGAACAAAGCACCACCCCCTCCGTGATGGAAGTGTTCCAATGTATTCCAATCAACTTGCCACCGGGTGGCTGGCTGGTCCCCTGGGGACCACGCAAAGAAGGGCCTCCCTTCTACTTTCTGGTAGCAACACACTAGTCAGGGTCTTAAAAACATGTCTGAAAATGGCTTGACGACCTGCCCATCATTTTGAGGTGGGATCTCGGCCCCTCATCTTACGAATCTTGGCTCACCTCAGTGATTGGCTTTCAGCCCATGGAATAAAGATGAAGCAATGCTCTATGGCTGTCAGGGTTGGATCAGAGAAGGTCACATGTCTGCTTCCTGGTTCTTCTGAGCCTTTTGTTGTGGAAGGATCTTGCCCCCATGTCAGCAGTCCTACTACCCGGAGACCCACACTGGGAAGGCTCCCAATAGACATGCCAGGCAGAAGCCCCAGCCAGGCTCACAAAGGATTTGGGGGTGGGCCTAAGGGTTGCTGCAATGTCTTTGGAGAGAGCAATTATCTTTCTAGATACCCCATCTCCATTTGGGGGTTCTTGCTTTGTAGCCCAAGCTCAGCAAAGGGTCCCCTCAGGGAACTTTGAAGGGGTTCCCTGACGTTGGAAGACCCCTGTGGTGGACCTGACTCTTGCCTGTGAAGTCTGAAACCAAGGGCGGGCAGAGGTCTAATGCGGCCCAGCAGGACCAGAGGGGCTGGGAAGGGCGCTCTTAGAGTGGGAGCCTTCCCAAAGCTGGATGGAGGCAGAGCTGGATCACCGTGGTAGAAAGACCACTCTGTGTGCTTCCCTCGTGGGTCACCTGAAGGTGTGCTGCTGGGTGCACCTGGCCAAGGGTGGAAACTGAGAGGCTGGGTCAAGCCCAGGGGATGCTGGAGAGGGGGCCAGCAAGAAACCTCTGAAGAGTCCCTGAAAGGGCCTCAAGACGGGGGTCGTCAGCATCAGCCACCAGGCCATCAGCTGGACCCCCAGCCAAACTACTGATCACAGCAAAGGATTTGGGGGACCTACGGATTGATGCAATGTCTTTGGAGAGAGGGGCTATCTTTCTAGAAGCCTCATCTCCATTTGGGGGTTCTTGCTTTGTAGCCCAAGCTCAGCAAAGGGTAAACCATTCATCTGGAGCAGATTACCCAAGAAGCAAGTTTGCCCGGGTTTCCTTGTGCTCACTAACTAACCCGCAGGACCAATTTCACCTGCGTTTCTCCCTCTTTGACCAGTGATACGCACGTGACACTGTTCACTACAGTCTAGGAAGTAAGCACAAGTAAGTCCATGCTTATCTCACTTAATGGGTATTCCATCCCTGGCAGGGATTATGAATCAGAAAAGAGGCTTTGACTCTGTAGGAAGGGGCTATGGGGTTGGAAGAAAGACAGACGCCAGCTAGACCGGGTAGCAGAATTCCTGGCGTGGTGAACAGTGTGAAATAGCTCACTAGGAATGAGTCAGCACGCACAGGCAGTAAGTCCATCCTTCCTTGCTTATGGGGCAACCCGCCCCTCCCTGGATGAATTGTCCTGTCCACCTGCATTGCTGGTGGGACTGTACAACTCCTATGGGAGTCAGTATGGCGAGTCCTTGAACCAATGTCAATACAATTATCATCTTATGATCCTGAAACCCCTCTACTAGGTCTATGCCCTAAAGAAATCACAAACACAGCACGGACAGACATAGGGACACCCGTGTTTATTGCAGCCATTGCCATAACAGCAAATGTGTGGAAACAACCTCAAACTCCAATGACCGAGGAATGGGTCAATAGACTCCGATGACCATGACCCAGGAATGGGTCAAGTGACTCCGGTCCAGTCATGCACCAATAAACAACAACGACTCTCCTAAACACTGCTGGAAACAGGCAAAACGAGAGAGCATCACGCTTAGCCACAGTAGTCAATCTTACAAGTATTAGTATGCAATATTAAAATTAATATATAAGTATTGGTGACACCATCCGTTCAAGGGAAAGCAAAGACAAAGTGGTTTTCACACCTAAGGAGAAGACTCTGCAGACTTTGAGGAGGCTGGGGATGGGGGTGGGGGCAGGGAGAGGGGAGGGATCCGAAGTCAAGGAGGGAGGGATGATGGGTGGGAGAGAGAGAGAAAACAAAACAAAATAACACACATTTATTGGGGGGGGCTGAACAGGGACTGCCACCGATTGGATAAGATGGGCTGTGCAACCACACAGAAGATGTTTTTTCTTTAAAAACCTAATCAAACCAAGTTCAAGTGAAAGAGAGAGAGAGAGAGAGAAGTCTCACAGCCTTACAAGCCCCCTGGGTTCCTCACCCCTTGGAGCTACGCCCTGGTCTCCGTGGTTACAATGGAGGGGAGGCCCACGGGAGGTAGAGAGGGATTCTTTAGTGACGGACAAGTTCACGTCAAACACATTTTCTCAAACAAAACAAAAAAGAGCCTGTGGCCATCTGACCTAGCCAAAGTTCTGGCAGTTTCTAGTCTCTGAAGTTGAAGATGTCAAGGAGGGAAGCGGGACCAGGCCCCAGAGAGACACCTGTGGGTGGGTCATGACAGACAGTACCTAGGCGCTTCCTCCAGGGCTCCATCTCCCTGCCACTGCCCCCACCCCAGGGAAACCAAGACAGGGATGTCTCAGCCTGACTCTGCCCTCCCTTCTATCTCCTGCTAAACTTCCTGGGGCCCAACCCAACTGAAACCCAGGGGCCAAGGAGCCTGCTGGTGGTCCTGAGCAGCCAAGTTCCTGGGGTGCACAGCATGGTGAAGGGGTGCAAGAAGAACCATTCTTGACGTTCTTCTCCTGTCCTGCTCCGGGACCCCCTCCCTGTCCTCTCAGGATGGCCACAGAGGACCCTGGGTGAACAGGAGGATGGAAGCCGAGAAGGCCCCCCTGTCCTCCTGCCTTCTCATCGCAGGTTCCCCATTGCAGGGGGCCTGGGCGGGAGCTGGGGTGAGAAGACTTGGTGCTTGGTGCCAAGGTTTTGACTGTTCTAGGAGTCAGCCTCCAGAAACAACCTCCCTGCCATCGAGTCAATGCTGAGGTTCAGGAAGACCCCTGTGGGTTCCCAAAACTGTACCTGCTTACAGGGCTGGAGAGCCCAGTCTTTCTCCCTCAGAGCTGCTGGTGGTTTCGAACTGCTGACCATGGCGATAACAGCCCAACATGTAACCACCACACCACCAAGGCCCCCATTGCTGAATGAGGGACTGAAATTGTGATTCTGTGGCGGAAGGGCCATCTGGTACCCAAGCATGAGAGGACATGCCACAAGGCCCGCTTAACTCTCCAAGGCGCCCAGGGAAAGACCACGGCTGCTAGAGAAAGAGGTGACCTAGCTGGGGACCACAATGCCTGGAGTTTGGATGGCACCCCACCAGGTGAGTCTTCAGCATTGGGATGACACAAAAAGCAGCCCGGGATTCTGGAACCTAGTGCCCTGCCTGCGTCTCCCATATGCTCCCTGGGCAACCCTCGTCCCTCTCTACCTTGCTGGTCTCCTGCTCTGGGAAGGTCACTGTCCCATGGTCTTGTGTCTCTCACCTTAGGACCAGCAGGGGCAGCAAGGGTCTCTAGTCCTTCCCTTTGCTTCCTATGGGTGACTTAAAGCAGCAGAAACATTACCTCGTGTCTCTGGAGGTGGATGTGCAGTCAGCAGCCGTGGAGTCAGCACCCCTCCCCCAGCTCACGGTGACCCCCACGTCCAATGTGATTGGACCTCCATGATCCACAGGCTTTGCCCCGGCTGATACTTTCAGCAGGAGATAGCCAGACCTTTCTCCCTAGTCTATCTTTTATCTAGAAGCTGCCCTGAAAGCTGTTCCGCATCCTAACAGCACGCAGGCACCCGCCGACAGAAGAGTGGAAGCTACACAAGAGGTGCACTGGCAGGTCCCCCACATGGAAGGGGAACATTCTACCCTGGAAGGACCACAACTGCCAGGGAGTTGAGGCAAGGAGTCTTCCTGATCTTGTCCAGCTCCCAGCGGCCCCAGTGCTTCTTGGCAGTGGGCACCATTGCTCCAGTCTCTGCCCTGGTTTCCACACACCCACTCCCCTTTCTA